GACATTTTTGTTCCCCAATATCATTAAATGCATCGGCTCATCAGTTGAGTTGTCAGGGTTTGAAGCTGTTGTTTCTCTCCTCTTCAGGGACCTGGAGCTGGTTTGGACAATCCTCCGGAGCCTGAGACAACCAGGTGACACATGTCTCTCTATGTCGAAGGACGTCTCACAGTTTGATGGTTAAGATTGAATGTGGTTTTATTTGTTACCTGTTGAAACATTGAAAAACTTGGAAACTTGGTTGAAGGCTGAGATCTGAGCCAAAGATCAGCTCATTAACTCGTCGAGTAGATTCCATTAGGGGTCGGATCCAGGATTTGTTTTTTACCATTGTGATATTGGACAGTTTTCATATTTTGTGAATTTGTCGATTAGAGGACATATGTCCATGAGTGTGTGGGATTTGGTGCCGAGTGATTGAATGTGAATGACTGAGGAATGAGTTGTGCTGAGTAATGTTCTCGTGGTTTGATTTTATTTCAGTGCTGCCCAGCCACAGAGGAAACGCTCGAGTAAAGTGTCCAGACACGGTGAGTCCCGCTCAGTCCGAACAAGAGGGAGCGAAACTTTTGTTTAGACGTAAACACTGCGAACACTCTGACACACGAGCGTTGCAACTACGGCAGCTGAAAGACCGTTCATGTTCTTGCTGAAGAAATGTCCACAGTAGATGGACAGTAGATCAAATACTGATGCTCTTGTCGTGTTCTTCAGACACGTCTCTGGTTCTGCTGACTCAGGGTTTCCTGGAGCTGCTGCTGGCGGCTCCTGGCGGCTCTCTGGACCTCAGGCAGGCCGCTACGAGCCTGCAGATCTGCAAGCGGCGCGTTTACGATATCACCAACATCCTGGGCGGCATCAAGCTCATCCAGAAGGAGTCGGCCAACAGGATCAAGTGGATGTGAGTAAAGAGAAGACGTGTGAGGTTATGATCCCAGTTGACCTTGGAGAAGGATGAACTCTTTATCTCTTTATGTATCTATGTCTGAAAACAGTTTAGAGAGTCCTCGTGTCCTCAGGGTTCAGTTGTAGTAATACGTAACTTGTCCCCTAGATGTTTAAACACAGACATGTCCACTCTTCTACGTTCACATGTGCGACAGCAGAAGATCTCACAAAATCCTTCACACCGAACCTGTGACGTCACAACAGATGTAATAGAGTCTCAGATAATCTCCTGCTGCGTTCTTCATATGAGAAACACAAACTGTGTCTTCTGCAGATGTTCATGTGTGACTCTCTCGCTCTCGCTCTCTCTCTCTCTCTCTCTCTCTCTCTCTCTGCAGAGGGAAGATTCCGATCTCTAACTTCCTGTGGAAGAACCAGCAGCGGTCCCAGAGAGAGCTGGACAACCTGAAGCTGGTGGAGGACACATTGGACGGCCTCATCAAAAGCTGCGCTCAGCAGCTCTTCGACATGACGGACGACGTGGACAACTCTGCATATCCTTTCACGCCAGACTGAGGTCAGAGGTCAGCTGACTAATATTAGCGAGGGCCCATTCTTCCACATCACTGTGATGTCACGTGACAGGTGATGTCAGAGTTCCTACATGCACTAGAAGCAGTCGACCAATCAGAGCAGTTTGGGCTTAATCAGGAGGGAGGTCCCTAGCCAAAGACATAAAGTGTCCCTGCGTCTCTTGAAAGACGCTTTATAAATTCCGGTTATTATTATTATTTATTATTTTGAAAGAGACAGGAGCTAAAACCAGGTTTTCAAGACAGAGGCTGAAAAGAGGAGCTGCAGCATTTTGTCCATTTAGCTGTCGTTAGCATAATGCTAAAGATACAGAAATCAAAAAACAAAGAATCAAATCCTTGTGATTGTAAATGTTTTTATGAAATCTTTTCTTTAACCGTCCTGTGTACGTCAGCGTACGTGACCCTGGAGGACGTCAGCGGCCTCGGAGTTCTGCAGGAGCAGACGGTGATCGTCATCAAAGCTCCGGAGGAAACCAAACTGGAGATTCCTGCGCCCAAAGAGGTGAAGGGACAAAGAGACGTCCAGCTTCTGTCCACAAACTTTCAAATGTTGTTTCCTTCACACGACGACACGATGATCAGATGATTCTAAAACAATCTCAACCTTCTGACAAAAACTAGATTAATCACTGGAGTTTTTGATCATTTATTATTGAAGCTTCAGTGTGAGGACGCGTTTCTATCAACTGAAAATCTTTAGGTTGTTAGTTTGAAAACTTTCCTCTAGTTTCTGATCAGGTGAATAAAGACAAGAATGTTGACTTGACTCATTTTAAAGCGTGTCACTTCCTGTTGCCGACACCAGGACAGTATCCAGGTCCACCTGAAGGCAGGGAAGGGTCCCATCACGGTGGTGACCCGTGAGATGGGGTCAATGGACGCCATGACCTCTGACCTCGGGCGGACGGGAAGCGGCTTCTTTTTAACGCTGGAGGAGAGTCGGGTCAGGACGAGCACACTGAACACAGGTAAGAAGAAGAAGAAGAAATAGTTTCTCGGTCGTTGTTTTGGCGATAGTCCGACTGGAGAGTTTCAATATTAAGACGATGGCTAAAGAGGGCGGAGCCAGTTGATAGTGGAATGTGTCGGTGTCATGTGCAGGTTTTCGTCTCTGTGTGTGTTGGAGTTCATTCTCACTGATCCAGATTTTAAAACACTAAAGTTAAACTACAGAACAATGTGAGCTGAGTGAACTGAGATCAGCGTTGAACGTCCTGCGACTGTTAACGTGTCTGAACGTGACCGAGCACCACTGCATGTGTGTAGAGGTGTGTCCTATGTGTGTAGAGGTGTGTCTTATGTGTGTAGAGGTGTGTCTTACAGTCTGATGAACATTGATACTGAATTTCATTTGTTTTATTTCTTTCATTGTGTCGTTGTAGTGTCTTGAGCCCCGTGCAGAGCGAGCAGCCGGCCACCAGGAGGTGCCAGTTGTCCTCAGGGTTCAGACACACAGGAACCTGGAGATCCTGAGCAGGTACTCAGGTCTCACAGACTGTGATTAAACAAACTCACCAGGAGCGTGATGGATGATTCCTCTGATTTCAAACTGCAGCTGATTTGAAATCAGCTCAAATGGAAACGTTAGAATCATCAAAAGTTTTATATCAACTCAGCTCTTTTGTTTTATATGAACATG